GGGACCGGGGCCTGGTCGCTGCGCTTCTTTGGTCGGTGAGCTCAGCCCTCCCTCTCCCTCCTCGGCGTCTACGGTGGGCTCTACGGCGGGGTTGTGTTCGTCGCCGTCGGCGGTGACAGATCCGGCACCAACCCTAGATCTGGTGTCTGGCCAGATGGCTTGTGGGCCTCTGGTGTGGGCCATTCCGATCCCTCCTGGGCCTGGTACCCCCCCTCTCTTCTCTCATGTCTCCTTTCCCCCTCCCCATCCTCGGCCGCAGGTGGCCCAGCCTCAGCCTGTCCAGTTTGTCCTCAGCTTGTCCAGTCTGTCCTGGCCTGCTCGGTCAGCCCAGCCTCGCTAGCTCTGGATATTTATGGGTCCGCAAAGGTGCCTACCCCCATTCCTAGGGTTTCCTGCTTCCAAATCAGACGTGCGTCGACTGCGCTTCCCCATTCGCCACTTTCTCAGATCCACCCTCCTCCTCCCCTGTCCTTCTCATTTGTGATGGTGCTCGCCATGGATCGCTCACGTAGATCATCTAGCAAGGTCGTCTATGGCCATAAGCGCTGGCGCGAGGGTTCGGTTGAGGCAGGTGCAGATCTGGAGCTTGAGGCGGCTCTACGTTCCAAGCTTGAGGCTGAACAGGCGGCGCACGAGCAGGTGGTGGGTGCGCGGTGCCTACGCGGTCGGGCATGAATGGCTGCAACGCGATGAGTGGGCCCGCTTGACGGCGACCATGAGGCGGCTGATGGTTTCATGGCTCCTGGAGCTGGAGGTGGTACTGGTGCAGATCTGTCGGGTGGCTTGTCTCGGCGGCCTTCGGACCCTTGGGAGGCTACGGTGGCAGTGGGCAGGGCTGCTGGATCCGCCCCTGCTTACTGCCCCCCCCCCTCCGTGCGGGTCGTCGGCTTCGTCTCGGGGTGCGGCCCATGCGCCGGGGGTGGGCGCGGGCTTTGGTGGTCATCAGTTGCCTCGCGGCGGTGCCAGCTCCATCCCTTCGGGCTCCTTTGGTCGCCGCTTCCCCTCTAACGGCCCTGGGTCGTTTTCTGCTAGCCAGGGAGATGGCACCCTTCCTCCTTCACCTTCCCCTCCGTCTCGCCAACCCCCATCCACCCAACCTCCCAACTCTAATCTCACCTGCTTCGCCTGTCACCAACCAGGTCACTTCCAATCCCGCTGTTTCAACCCTCCCTTCTGCCTCATTTGTAAGAAGGAGGGACGCCTCATCGTGGATTGTCAAAACCGCCGCAAACCTGCTTCGTTTGTCCATTACGGTCTTGGTTTGCTGGGTTGCTCTTTCTTCGCCCTTGACAGTAATATTCCTCGGGTGGCGGTTGCCCCTGCCTTGTCCAATGCCGCTATCATTTCTGTTAAGGATCAGAGGATCTCTCCCCAAACCCTCCTTGATGAGCTTAAGCTTTGGGTGAATGAAATATGCCCTAGAGGCAATAATAAAGTTGTTATTTTATATTTCCTTATATCACGATAAATGTTTATTATTCATGCTAGAATTGTATTAATTGGAAACTTGATACATGTGTGGATACATAGACAAAACACCGTGTCCCTAGTTAGCCTCTACTAGACTAGCTCGTTAATCAAACATGGTTAAGTTTCCTAACCATAGACATGTGTTGTCATTTGATGAACGGGATCACATCATTAGGAGAATGATGTGATGGACAAGACCCATCCGTTAGCATAGCATATTGATCTTTTAGTTTTATTGCTATTGCTTTCTTCATGTCAAATACATATTCCTTCTACTATGAGATTATGCAACTCCCGGATACCGGAGGAATGCCTTGTGTGCTATCAAATGTCACAACATAACTGGGTGATTATAAAGATGCTCTACAGGTATCTCTGAAGGTGTTTGTTGGGTTGGCATAGATTGAGATTAGGATTTGTCACTCTGAGTATCAGGTATCTCTGGGCCCTCTCGGTAATACACATCATAAGAAGCCTTGCAAGCAAAGTGACTAATGAGTTAGTTGCAGGATGATGTATTACAGAACAAGTAAAGAGAGTTGCTGGTAACGAGATTGAACTAGGTATGAAGATACCGACGATCGAATCTCGGGCAAGTAACATACCGATGGACAATGGGAATAACATATGTTGTCATAATGGTTCGACCGATAAAGATCTTCGGAGAATATGTAGGAGCCAATATGAACATCCAGGTTCCACTATTGGTTATTGACCGTAGAGGTGTCTCGGTCATGTCTACATAGTTCTCGAACCCGTAGGGTCTGCACGCTTAACGTTCGATGACGATATTATATTATATGAGTTATATGATTTGGTGACCGGATGTTGTTCGGAGTCCCGGATGAGATCACAAACATGACGAGGAGTCTCGAAATGGTCGAGAGGTAAAGATTGATATATAGGATGAGAGTACTCGTGTTGGGGAACGTAGTAATTTCAAAATTTTCCTACGCACACGCAAGATCATGGTGATGCATAGCAACGAGAGGGGAGAGTGTTGTCCACGTACCTTCATAGGCCTAAAGCGGAACCGTTAGAACAACGCGGTTGATGTAGTCGTACGTCTTCACGGCCCAACCGATCAAGCACCGAAACTACGGCACCTCCGAGTTCTAGCACATGTTCAACTCGATGACGATCCCCGGACTCCGATCCAGCAGAATGTCGGGGAAGAGTTCCGTCAGCACGACGACGTGGTGACAATCTTGATGTTCTACCGTCGCAGGGCTTCACCTAAGCACCGCTACAATATTATCGAGGATTATGGTGGAGGGGGGCACCGCACACGGCTAAGAGATCAAGAGATCAATTGTTGTGCATAGAGGTGCCCCCCTGCCCCCGTATATAAAGGAGCCAAGGGGGAGGGGGGGCCGGCCAAGGAGGGGCACGCCAAGGGGAGTCCTACTCCCACCGGGAGTAGGACTTCCTTCTTTTATAGTTGGAATAGGAGAAGGGCGGAAGGAGGAAGGAAAGGGGGGGGGGGCGCCGCCACCCTCTCCTTGTCCTATTCGGACTGGGGGGAGGGGCACGCGGCCCAGCCCTTTCCTCCTCTCTTCCTCTCCACTAGGGCCCATGTAGGCCCATTAAGCCGCCGGGGGGTTCCGGTACTCCGGTAAAATCCTGATTTCACCCGGAACACTTCCGATATCCAAATATAGGCTTCCAATATATCAATCTTCATGTCTCGACCA